ATTAAATTTAGAATAACTGACCTATTTGATTGTGATTTAGAATTTATGAATGAAATATTATGGCAATTTCAAATAGAAAAAATAGCTGATGAGATAACGGATTAAATATTTATTTTTAAATCATAATAAATGATTAAACCACAGCAACTTAAGGCGCAAAGCACCCAGGTCCCTCAGACCATTACATACGCCATATATGCATATAATTCAAAGACGGCAGAACAAACGCAAAGGTTGAAATATGGAGATTTGGAGATAGTATTGAAAAATGACCATTTCGAATTCGTTTGCAAAGGTGGTGCAGTGATATCAAATATAAAAGAAATTTTATTTATGAATTCTAAAATTAAAGGTATAACGGATGATATAACATCAATTCCACCAGAAGAACAGAGATATTACGCATTAAATGCATTTCCTGAAGTTTTGAAGATTGGAAGATTTAATTTAAATGAGGAATTCATAGAAGGTTTCCTAAATGACATAATGAAGAAAGCAGATAAGGAATATGTGGATAGTGAGTTAAATAAGAAGGCAAATTTGGTTTATGTTGATGAAAAAGATAATGAAATTAAAGAAAAGGTTGAATGGTATCATGAATGGACATTTGAGACTTTTAAAGTTAAAGCTGATACAGGGTGGGTTTCAGGATGTTTAGACCTTAAAGCAGATAAAACATATGTTAACGATGAGTTAGACCTTAAAGCAGATAAAACATATGTTAACGATGAGTTAGAGAAGAAGGCAGATAAGAACCATACACATAACTTCTTCTCAACTGTTGCTATAGAAAGTATTGAAGGAACGGTTGACGGAAACTGATGGGGATGCATTATATTATAATCCTCCTAACTTTCCACAAGGTTTAACATCGAAATGAAAACATAACAACGATGAAAAAAATTAAATGTAAAAATGTTTTATGTCATGGATGATGAAAATAAAGTTAAATTCACTGCTCAAAGATTTATATGATAAGAAAGCAGAACAAAAAGAGCTTTCAAACATTAAAGACTGAAATTCTTCAAATATTAATATCCTGTTGGTTCTATTTTATACGTCAATGAACTCAACAAATCCTTCAGAAGTTTTAGGTTTTGGTACGTGGAAGCAGATTGTAGATAAATTCTTATACTGTGCTAGATATTCAAAGCAAACAGGAGGTTCGAAGAAAATTAAAGAAGCAAACCTTCCACCGCACAACTCATACAGGAACTACAAACACAACAGGTAATCATTCACATTCATAACAAAAAGAGGTTATATAAATCTTGCAGCGGGTTCGGATAGATGGGGAATGAATAGATATGATATCACAACTGACCCAGTAGATTCAAGCACAGGTATTTTCTGTGGAACCGCAGGAAAATCATTCACACACTTTCACAACAAATCCAACAGGCTCGGGTAAAGATTACATGCCACCATTTGTGACTGTATTCGCATGGTTCAGAGCTGCTTAAAGTCCTGAGCTCCAAAAATGAGACAACATGACATTTTTGACAACAACACAGGAGGAAGGTATTTATGAATTATTTTTATTTATTTTTTTATTTTGTATGTAAGAACAGTAATGTCAGTCGAAGCAAAAACATTCCACGAACAAATCTAATGGTGAAACATTCACAAAAGGCACTTATAACAGTATTGAAGTCTTACGTAGAGACAAGGATGGTTACATTAATGCAACAAAGATGGCAAGAGAAGTAGGAAAGTTTAAACATTTAAACAGATTCTCAATAGTGCTAAAATGCAGGAAATTCTTGAGTTTTGGTTGAAAGAATACGGTGGAGCCAAAAGTGGCTCGACCTCAAAACAAGCATTTTATGAGCTTACAAAGGGTGTTATGAATGAATTCAAAGGTTATTTACATACATCCTGACCTCGTTCATTTTGTTGCTGAATGGTGCTCTGTAAAGTATGCATTTTATTGTCAAAGATATTATGGACTCCATAGACAAGAAAGTTCATGAGAAATTAGATGAAGAAGAACTCGAAGATACAGTAGAGAATGCTAAACCACTTTGTTTGAAGAAGAAGTTAGAAAAAATGCGCGAAAAACAATTAGAACATGAACGTGAGTTATGTTATGGTTATAGAGATTCTCCATTCGAACTAGACCAATGGGAACAAGAAAATTTAAAGAAGAGAATTTAGAGAATATGAACTCGCTAAGATAGCATTAGAAGCTGCAGAAAAAGAAGTTAAAAGCTTGGGGTCGTTTTGTACAAAAATATTGTGAGTAAAGAACTCATTATATTTTTGTCATAAAGACGCAACGTGGCGGGGCATAGCCCATGACCCAAAAATATATTTTTATCGTTAATGGTTTCAGGTTATTCAATAATTAATTATTTTTGAAGAACTGAAGGTGCTACCATGTTACCATGTGCTACCAGGTCATTTAACTTCTCTGAAAAAATGAGACAACATGACATTTAGACAACAACACAGGAGGAAGGCATTTATGAATTATTTTTGAAGAACTGAAGGTGCTACCATGTTACCATGTGCTACCAGGTCATTTAACTTCTCTGAAAAAAATGAGACAACATGACATTTAGACAACAACACAGGAGGAAGGCATTTATGAATTATTTTTGAAGAACTAAGGTGCTACCATGTTACCATGTGCTACCAGGTCATTTAACTTCTCTGAAAAAAATGAGACAACATGACATTTAGACAACAACACAGGAGGAAGGCATTTATGAATTATTTTTGAAGAACTGAAGTGCTACCATGTTACCATGTGCTACCAGGTCATTTAACTCTCTGAAAAAATGAGACAACATGACATTTAGACAACAACACAGGAGGAAGGCATTTATGAATTATTTTTGAAGAACTGAAGGTGCTACCATGTTACCATGTGCTACCAGGTTATTTAACTTCTCTGAAAAAATGAGACAACATGACATTTTGACAACAACAACAAAGAAAATATGATGCAGTCCAAAAATAAAGTTAGTTTTAAAATTATTTTTATTTTTTTATTCCTATATAAATGACAGCAACAAACAACAACAGCAACTTTATCATTTCTGATGAAAAAGTTATTGATTCATTAGCTGAGGAATTAGTTGTGGCAGAAACTAAAACCCTCAACGAAAGAATTGGTGAAAACAAGATTGATTTACATAACTACCTCAAAACATGATGGAGGAAGAGGAGGAAAACTGGTATGGCTTTATTAGTAAATAAAATATCAAATTTAACGATATAGATGTTGATATCATAAATCGTACAATGATGAACTTAAAGAAACAGTTAGAAAAGACATTTTATCAAAACTTTCGGATAAAGATGTTATCGTTAAAACCGCTTCAGGAGGTCTTCACATTTATTGCAACACTAATTTCTTCTATGCAGTTTCGAACAGAATGATTAAATGTTATTCTTGCAATGATTATGATATTGATATAATGACTTCTATTGATGATTCAAAGCGTTCTTTAGTGGTTATGGCTGATTCAAGAGTTCGCAAGAATGCATCAGAACCAATCAAAACATACTCATTCATTCGTGGAAGTTATGATTCAACATTAACCAGAACAGTAAACGATATATTAAATGATTTGAATATTAAGGTAAGAGTTGAACAGAAGAACGAAGAAATAAAGACTATCATGAATGAAAACAAAGATGTAAACATTGACGATAAACTTGCCCAGAGCATAGTTGATGGCATCAGTGATTTTGAAGTACATAATGACGGTGGAAACATGAATTTAGAAAAAGAAATAACATTATTCACGCTGTTTCAAGCTATTAATTCGTTACCGGATCATTTAATTAATGAAGCATACGATAACGTTTATAACTTCTGCAGCTTAACTGAAAATGCAAAAAGTAATTTTGAAAAAGCACGTAGTAGATATGCACATTTAATGACTTCTCCATTTGTTTTAGTGAAGATTCTGAAACTTTATCAAAAGGAATATTATGATGAATACGTTTTACCTTTATTACGTAAGCCAAAAATAACATTTGATATAAAACTTGATGATTCATTCTTGATAACAGATATTAGACGCAAGGCTGAAAATCATCAGTATAAAAACAGTTCTGAAGTAATTGAGGATTTATCACGTGTCATCCGTTTTGTAGATTGTGGAAACAAATACTTCATTCAAAAGGATTACAACATACACGATAAAATGAATCAAATATCATTCGTTCTTCAATCAAACATGAAAGAGTCACTCAAAATGATTAAATTATTTAAAGAAGAAGGTAAAACCATAACAGCATGGGACGTACTATTAAATCAATTATCCTCATTAACCGTTAAGGGTGTTTGCTTTAAATCTGATTCCCCAGATGTTTTCTCAACGTTTCAGGGTTATAAATACAACGTTCTCGAAAAACCAGATTACTCAAAAATTGAGATGTTTATGGATTTCATTAAAGAAGCCATTTGTGATAATAATGATGAAGTGTATAAATACCTACTCGGCTGGATTGCATCAATGATTCAACATCCTGGAATCAAGAATGAAACAGCAATTATTTTGAAAGGACTTCAGGGAACAGGTAAAAACAGATTTACAGACATTATTTCTGAACTTCTCGCTGGTTATTCATGTAAAAACATTACTGAAATAAGTGAGCTAACGGGTAATTTCAATTCAGTAGTTGAAAATAAAATGTTTCTTGTACTTAATGAACTCAAGAATGTGGGTGAAGACAGACTCGCAAACTTCAACGCTTTGAAATCAATTATTACGGATAATGAGATAAGAATTAATGAAAAGAATCAACCCAGAAGAACAGCATAGAACGTTGCAAACTTCATTTTCGTAACTAACAACGTTTACCCTGTCAAAATTGAAGTTGGAGACAGAAGATACGTAGTTTTAAGAGTTAATGGTAAATTCAAGGGTCAATTTGATTACTTCAAGAATTTAATGGATTCATGCACTAAGGAATTTTATGATAATTTACTGACGTATTTTATGCAATATGACCTTTCATCATTTAATGTACGAATCATTCCGATGACTGAAGCCAAACAAGATTTAATTGAATTATCAACAAATCCTTTAGATGTATGGATAAATACACATTATGATGAATTGTGTGCAGGTATGACGTGTAAAAATGCTCTATTCTGCAAACCATCAGACATGAAAGACAAGAATTTCCAAATGAGTATTAAGGATAAATGTGATAGGAAACATAGAAGAATAGACGATAAACAAACATGGTGTTATGTTTTGAAAGAAGAAATGAAAGGATTATATAAACAGGTTGAACCAAACGATAATGAGGATTCATTTACTGACGATGAAATACCTGTAAATGATGCTTTATAAAGTATGATTTGAATTTATTTTTGCATTAATCCTCCTGTGTTGTTGTCTAAATGTCATGTTGTCTCATTTTTTCAGAGAAGTTAAATGACCTGGTAGCACATGGTAACATGGTAGCACCTTCAGTTCTTCAAAAATAATTCATAAATGCCTTCCTCCTGTGTTGTTGTCTAAATGTCATGTTGTCTCATTTTTTCAGAGAAGTTAAATGACCTGGTAGCACATGGTAACATGGTAGCACCTTCAGTTCTTCAAAAATAATTAATTATTGAATAACCTGAAACCATTAACGATAAAATATATTTTTGGGTCATGGGCTATGCCCCGCCACGTTGCGTCTTTATGACAAAAATAATGAGTTCATTTACTCACAATATTTTTGTACAAAACGACCCCAAGCTTTTAACTTCTTTTCTGCAGCTTCTAATGCTATCTTAGCGAGTTCATATTCTCTAAATTCTCTCTTTAAATTTTCTTGTTCCCATTGGTCTAGTTCGAATGGAGAATCTCTATAACCATAACATAACTCACGTTCATGTTCTAATTGTTTTTCGCGCATTTTTCTAACTTCTTCTTCAAACAAAGGTTTAGCATTCTCTACTGTATCTTCGAGTTCTTCTTCATCTAATTTCTCATGAACTTTCTTGTCTATGGAGTCCATAATATCTTTGACATAAAATGCATACTTTACAGAGCACCATTCAGCAACAAAATGAACGAGGTCAGGATGTATGTAAATACCTTTGAATTCATTCATAACACCCTTTGTAAGCTCATAAAATGCTTGTTTTGAGGTCGAGCCACTTTTGGCTCCACCGTATTCTTTCAACCAAAACTCAAGAATTTCCTGCATTTTAGCACTATTGAGAAATCTGTTTAAATGGTTTAACTTTCCTACTTCTCTTGCCATCTTTGTTGCATTAATGTAACCATCCTTGTCTCTACGTAAGACTTCAATACTGTTATAAGTGCCTTTTGTGAATGTTTCACCATTAGATTTGTTCGTGAATGTTTTTGCTTCGACTGACATTACTGTTCTTACATACAAAATAAAAAATAAATAAAAATAATTCATAAATACCTTCCTCCTGTGTTGTTGTCAAAATGTCATGTTGTCTCATTTTTGGAGCTCAGGACTTTAAGCAGCTCTGAACCATGCGAATACAGTCACAAATGGTGGCATGTAATCTTTACCCGAGCCTGTTGGATTTGTTGTGAAAGTGTGTGAATGATTTCCTGCGGTTCCACAGAAAATACCTGTGCTTGAATCTACTGGGTCAGTTGTGATATCATATCTATTCATTCCCCATCTATCCGAACCCGCTGCAAGATTTATATAACCTCTTTTTGTTATTGAATGTGAATGATTACCTGTTGTGTTTGTAGTTCCTGTATGAGTGTGCGGTGGAAGGTTTGCTTCTTTAATTTTCTTCGAACCTCCTGTTTGCTTTGAATATCTAGCACAGTATAAGAATTTATCTACAATCTGCTTCCACGTACCAAAACCTAAAACTTCTGAAGGATTTGTTGAGTTCATTGACGTATAAATAGAACCAACAGGATATAATATTTGAAGAATTTCAGTCTTTAATGTTTGAAGCTCTGTTTTGTCTGCTTTCTTATCATATAAATCTTGAGCAGTGAATTTAACTTTATTTTCATCATCCATGACATAAACATTTTTACATTTAATTTTTTTCATCGTTGTTATGTTTTCATTCGATGTTAAACCTTGTGGAAAGTTAGGAGGATTATAATATAATGCATCCCCATCAGTTCCGTCAACCGTTCCTTCAATACTTTCTATAGCAACAGTTGAGAAGAAGTTATGTGTATGGTTCTTATCTGCCTTCTTCTCTAACTCATCGTTAACATATGTTTTATCTGCTTTAAGGTCTAACTCATCGTTAACATATGTTTTATCTGCTTTAAGGTCTAAACATCCTGAAACCCACCCTGTATCAGCTTTAACTTTAAAAGTCTCAAATGTCCATTCATGATACCATTCAACCTTTTCTTTAATTTCATTATCTTTTTCATCAACATAAACCAAATTTGCCTTCTTATTTAACTCACTATCCACATATTCCTTATCTGCTTTCTTCATTATGTCATTTAGGAAACCTTCTATGAATTCCTCATTTAAATTAAATCTTCCAATCTTCAAAACTTTAGGAAATGCATTTAATGCGTAATATCTCTGTTCTTCTGGTGGAATTGATGTTATATCATCCGTTATACCTTTAATTTTAGAATTCATAAATAAAATTTCTTTTATATTTGATATCACTGCACCACCTTTGCAAACGAATTCGAAATGGTCATTTTTCAATACTATCTCCAAATCTCCATATTTCAACCTTTGCGTTTGTTCTGCCGTCTTTGAATTATATGCATATATGGCGTATGTAATGGTCTGAGGGACCTGGGTGCTTTGCGCCTTAAGTTGCTGTGGTTTAATCATTTATTATGATTTAAAAATAAATATTTAATCCGTTATCTCATCAGCTATTTTTTCTATTTGAAATTGCCATAATATTTCATTCATAAATTCTAAATCACAATCAAATAGGTCAGTTATTCTAAATTTAATATTTGATAAATCTTTTGAATGAAGAATAAATGAATTCCCGGATAATTGAAACGGATATGATAAAGAAAATGTGTTTAAGTTGATGGATAAAATGTTTTGTATTGATGGGTAAGAGTTAGGGTCTAATGTTTGATGTGAAAATCTCATTGGGGTATTAACTTTATCACATTTGATTAAAATGAAATTGGAACCAGTGTCAGAATACAAAACATCCCCAACATCTTTTTCAAAATTTAATATCCCCAACAATGAACGAAAATGAGGAGTACAAAATTTAATTTTCAGCGGGAATTTAATAAGGTTATTTATTTCATCAAGTTCAAAAAGTTTATCGGGTTTTGATTTAAAATTTTCTTCATACCATACGATAAATGATTCATTTAAATAACTTAAAATCATGTTTATATCCCATTTCGCTATCACATTATTTATATACATATCATACGTTTTTTCATGGTCATCTTTAATAAATGATATATAATCTGAAGGGTCTAAAAGAATGGGATTAAATTTACCACTCACAGAAACGAGAGTAACATTATAAATTCCGCAAACTGTTAAATTTAATTCACACTTATTATTCGAAATAATATTGATAATTGACATTTTTATTACGATTAAAAATATGGTAAAGCGTTATTTTCCAGTGATAAATAAAACTAGAATAAGATTACCTCAAGAATTCATAAATTCAACGAATAAGAAATTCATTCATGTTATAAATTTTAGTGTTTTCAGAAAATATGAGTCAAGGTCATATTCATCAACAGGTTATATTTCACTTCATTCAAATTTAGTTCAATCAAACCCATATAATGACCATTTCATAAGATTTTCAGATGGTATTAAAAATGTAATTGATAGATTAAAATATGAACAGATTGACAATATCGAATTTTTGGAATTTTGGTTTAAATATCCCGATGGAAAAAAGATTGAAGTTAAAGATAAAGCTGATACTATAACAAAAACAATTACAATGACCGATCCAGATAGTGGGGAACAAAAAGAAATAAAACAAACGATAGAAACTGGTGAAAGGTCAATTATTATCGATTATGATTCAAAGGATTATTATTCAATAATGTTAATGCTTGAATATTAAATAGTCTTAACAAAGAATTTTTCAAGTGATATTTTATATTCATCAACTATTTTATTATAAATATCATTATATGTTAAATGAAGTTCAGTTGTTGTTCCATTCTTTGATATCTTAATTGTGCTAATATCCTTTATAGGATTTATTTTTGCAACTGTTCCGCAGCATGAAACCTCATCATCTATGAAAAATTGAATCTTAACGTCTGAATCTTGAACATCACAAAGAATGGCGATAATGTGAATTAATGATTCATAAGGTAAAATAATTAAACCGGATTGGTCAATTAAATTTATTATTGAATCATAATTATTAGTTATTATATCACGGTAAATTTTCATTAATTCAGAATTAATGTCTATTTTATATGGGTTCTCGATGTTTGATGAAAGAGGCGGGGGTATGATGGATAAGTGGGAATTTCAACAGGTTCTTTACCGGGTTCAGATAAAATGATTGGGTCTCCATTCTCATGGTTTTCTTCATTCTCCTCATTCTTCGGTAAGTCACGAGTTAATAAATTTGGTTGAGTTGCTGACCTTGTTAATTCAGGGCTAACATTAACTTTAACATTTTGAATAATTCGTGATTTATCATCATTTACGTTATAACCAACCGTAATCTCTGCTTTTGCGTTAGTGTTCTTTTGACTAGTGAAACGTCTTCTCATTTATAATCGAATAAAAAAAATATATTTAAACTTTTATTTTGCTGGAACTTTTGAATCTATTATTCCCTGTATTTGTTCATGAAGTTGATTTTTAGCATTTTCATCGAAATTAATAGACCGAATATATTCATTAATTGCATTCTTATAATCATCTGATTTCTCAAATTTTCTTTTATCTGATTCCTTAACTAAATCATAAGTTAAACCTCGTTGCTGATATAATGGTTTCTTAATTAAATCTTTGAATGCTTGAGATAAAGCACCTGATGCAATTCTTGCTACTATAATTGGTTGGAATTGATGTTTAAGTTCATCTTTAACATTTGCGAAAACTGGATCGAATAAAGCAACTTTAAAGAATTTCTTAGCTGAAATTTCAGGTCTAATATTTGCATATTGACCATCAAACTGGTTAGAATATCGTGGTAATCCATCCGGTCCTCTTCAATAGCATTTAATTCTTCATTGAAATAAGAATATGGATTATGACGGTATGAATTAATTGGACCATGTTCACCTTCTCCAATGTATTGTTTAACAGCTTTTCCATTTTCATCAAATTGTATAGGATAACGTTCATTATATGCTTTACGTTTAGGATAATCAGATACAGTTAATTTATAACCATTTATGACTTTAATATTACCTTGACCATCAGTAACGAAAACTTCATTTATACCATCAGGTTTTCCATTTGGACCCGTAATGTCTGCTTCGTGTGCTTCCCAATTTGGACCATGACGTTTGGCATATGCTTGAGCTTCTGGTAATTTAAAACGTTTCTCATTTGTTTAACATCTTTTTGAAGACCAGCAACAATATGAACTAATTCTTTCATTCCATCAGGAACTTTCATAGTTCTATTATATGCACCCTTTTTGTTTGTCCCTTGTTTTAATGGAACCTGTAGAAGATTTGCTATTTCTGTCATGTTTAATTATAAATAAAAAATAAAAATTAATCATAAAAAGTTAATCAAATTTAACACCTCCTTTATTTAAATCAACTATTATTTTTCCATGTTCACCTAATTGCTGATATTGTGTGTAAAGTTCATTAATGCTCATTGGTAAATTCACTTGATAAAGCATAACGTTCAACTGTTGACGACTAAACCCACTGAAAATGAAAAGTGTTGATAGATTTGATTTAATGTTTGTGCTTAATGCTTTGAAGTATTGAACAGCCATAAAGAATGAACACTGAATGTGCCGACATTGAGTTAATAACTGATTAAAATATGATTTCTCATTTGTTATTAGTTTTGATTTCACTGCATCATCTAGAAAAATGAGTGAATGCAAAAATTCTCTATCAAAATTTGAAATAGAAAGTGTTTCAAATAATTCATCCCGTTGTTTATCAATAATTTTATCCTCTAATCCTTGCTTCTTGATTGTATTATATAATTCTTATACATTAAAAAGTTTTTTAAATAATCTTCTGCTTCTTCTTGTGATAAATAAATAATTGGAATTTTGATTAAATGCTTTAAAGATTCAAATGTATCATCTGAAGGTGAACCTGAACGGTTGATATAAATTAACACATGTGAATAGGGGAAGTGTTAGCAATAATGATAATTTGTTTTAATATTGTTAATGTTTTACCTTTATTCTGTTTACCAATTGCTGCAGTGATTGAATTTAAGTAACATTCAGAATATGGAATTTTCATTAATTTTTCCTTAGATTGAGCATTTCTATTATCACTCAATGCTTCATTAATCATATCATCTACGTATGTATTATATACTCCCGCTAATTCTTCATAAGGGGTGGATGAATTTAAATCCATTTAATCAAAAATAAATTTATAATTTTAAACATTTCTATTCATCAATATTTCATCATATGAACTTCTATACTGCGGTGGTGTACCTGTTGGATGATATTTCAAACCTTCATCAGGTGTCCATGTCCAATATGTAGTCCTAGTAAACCAAACCTGAGGAGGATTTGTCACCTTTGAACAGTAAGTGTCATTTTCACCCTGAATGATTGGATAAGCTTTCACTTGTACTGTAACTTGTGAATTGAAAGTTTCTAATCCATCAAAGAATATACCCGCTCCATCACGTTGAACTGGAATAGTGCATAAGAATGAAGTTTGGTCTTTCCATGTTCTAGCTAATGGCATGCCATCATCATCATTCAGTGGTCTAGTTAATGAGTCCTCATATTCTTCTGTGCATTCATTCACTCCATCTAAATCAGAAGCTTGAAGCATACGTGTAAAGAATATGTCACCCACTGTGGTCATCGCTTGATCGGGGAAGTTTCTGGAATCTATAGTGACCTGAAGACCTCGAAGCATTGGATTTTCTAAAACCGTTCTTTGCATTGCATTCTTCGGAAATGCTAACACAATATCTGTAACATTATGAAGAGCGTATGAGAAATCTGAGCTGATACCTTCAGGAGTGATGCAACCTCCATTTAGTGAACGAACGTCAATATGTTGAGCTGGAATCATGAATGGATCTTCTTTACTGAATAAACGTGGTATTGCTTTAACTGATTCTTCAATTAAACCATATCCTGGTGTAATGCATTTATCCTCTAAAACTTCCATCTTTGTGCATGAAATAATAACGTTATCAACTATTGCGTCAGCAGATGTAGCGGCTAAGCTTGTAATTAATTTGGCAGGAAGTCCGATTTGTTGGAATTTGCGATCATATTTATAAACATGATTCATAATCTTTTCATAATTTTCATCAGTTATCTTTTCATAAACGTAATTTTGTAAATCAGCAACTCTTAACGGGTCAACCTGACAAAATACTAAAGTATCCCTGAAAAAATAATATTTAAGAATGATATCACCAAATGATTTAGGATAATCATCGAACGCCTGAAATGCTAACAAATCATTTACCGGAATAATCATATCAAAAGTGACATCAACTTCTTCATTTGCTTTCTTGAAAACTTCTGAAGGGTCAATATATTTACCACATACTGAGTTATCATATTTTTGAACATTATTATATAACGAATGAACAAACTTTTTAACTTTCCTTTCTGATTTGGTTTATATGTTGCAAATGCGAAAGATTCACGGGCACAATCCATCTGAAGATAACCGGCATCACCT